GGGGGTTCTTGTGTGTGTGGTTTTGTTTTTTTTCTTTTAATAAATTTTGCTCACTTTAGGACCATCAGCGCCAGCCCCACAGTTATTCTGACCCTGAACAAGAGCTAATACAGACTCTGGTTTCCAGCCAGACCTTATCACTGCAGAGAAAATATTTTGAGGCAACAGGTTAGGGTTAGGCTCATCTGCAGTCTCAGAAAGGAAGGGCTGCATGTCATAACTAACTTATTTTTCTGCACAGTTTTGAGGTTTCATGGACATCACCACCACTCTTCTATCAGCAGATTTAAGGAGAAGACACTGCTTTCAGTCTTCCCAACATGATTCTTATGTGTCTTTCTGCCTGACCTGTTTTCATGCAGTTCATGAAATGATCTGGAAGCCAGTAGGTGACATTTTTATCGGTTTGACCACCTGCAGATCACAGACCATAGTTTCACGTAAAATTAGGCCATAGATTTTAAAAAATAAAGATCAAAACTGCAACTCTGACTTTAGACCAATCTTAGAGTGCTGCATGCTTGACTAGGCTGTTCTGTCTTGTTCTTACTGGTTTTTCTGACTTGTTGGGCTTCGCTTTGTCTTAGTTTAAGGCACAGCTTAGATTCCTTCAATACTAATCCCCAAGAAACAAGCCCTGAAAAAAAGAATTTGACATGTATCTGTAAGGAAGAAGGAAGACATGGATGTACAAAGAGGGGAGAGGAAATGCACGAGCATATCTATGCTGCTAAACACAGAAGTGATAGTACAAGATTTAGGTTGGGTGTTTGAACAACACAGCTATGGCAGCACAATCTATGTCTGGGTTAACAAACCCCTAAATCAGTCCCCATGGGGCCTCAGGTCTCTCAGGTCCTGCTGCCTGAATCAGCTGTGGTGTCAGTGCTGGACTCCGTACTTGCACTTTCTCATTTGGCATTTGGCAGTAGCAGCTTCCAAACCATGCTCAGTCACACTGGTTGATTTTGTGGGCATCCAAGTAGTGAGTTTTAACTACGTGATTGAAAGTGATCTTGAGGTAGTTTTGTCTATGGACGGAATCTTCCTTTGGAGCTTCAGAGAAAAAAGCATGAGGGTCCTTGATGGAGCTTATACCAAAGGTTGAGTGGAGGTTGGTGTTAGATCCCCCAGCTAAAAACAAGATTAGATCTTTTCACCCTAAAGGAGAAACTAGAAGCCTTAAAGTACTGCAAAAATTTTGCTTGATGAAATAGAGGAGCCAGAAGAAGGATAGAAAGAGAAGGGCAACAAAATTCAGCATCAGTGCTTACACTGAAACTGAGATCCCACTTACTTCTATGGTTATATAGCTTCACCCTCCATGCACTGAGTCTTGCTATATATAAGACTCCTAGGTCAAGAGGTCCTCAAGCTTCAAATCTTTCATCCCAGGAAATGTTCCCTGTAGTTCTGCTCTTCAGCACCTTTCTCAAAGCACGCCCTACTAAAGTAGGACAAGACATTTTAATGAGTTTCACTCACACTGTAGACAGTGTTGCTTTCTGTTCCCGGTTCCTAGACAGCTCCTGACTAGTTTTTCAAGTACCAAATCTCTCTTCCTCTGTCACTGAAGCTCATGAGCAGCTGATCTCATGACCATTTTGGTTCTGAAGTCTTTTGCACAGTAACTGACTTTCTGTTTGCCTTTTTCCTTCTTGTAAACATGATCTAGATGTTCATGTTCATGTGGCTGTACTAGAACACACTCTGTGCATTCGTGTGAGGTTTACCAACCACTCCTATGCTTTGTCATTCACAAGAATCCAGATGAACTATGAAAAAGCCAAGATAAAGGCATATTATATTGACCAACAGATATATTCCCTTGCTGGTTTTCTCTGATTTTAGATATAAACTCTTTGACTGAAGCAGTTTCCTGTTTGATGAGGGCTAGCACAACCTACTGGGAGATGCTTACCAGCAGTCCCTCTGCACACTCCCAGCAGAGCCTGTTACAGCCTCCTGGCTGCAAGCTCCAGCTCGGCAGAAGCACTTGCTTTTGATTACAGAGATCTCCAGTGTCAGCCAAGGAGGTGGATATCAAACCTGTGCACGCTGGGTGCTGCCAGCAACACATCATAAATAATAGTAATGGAGTGTAATTGCTCATTAAGCCAAATCATAGCCTGGAGCCCTCCATCTGGCCAAACTCCCTTCGACATCAGCGGGAGCTTTGCCAGCAGGTGTGCAATAGGATTGGGGTCCCAAGCAGTGGTACTGCCAGCCACGTATAGTAGCACTACTATTGGGTTTTGATTCAGATCCCCTTGAAACTGCTGTGTGTCTTTGGATTGATCTAGAAGAATTTAGCTAACTCCCCTTGCGTTACACTGCTTCTCAGCCAGCACAGCTACATCTGTGCAACAGTTATCCCAGATGGAGTATGGAGGAGGAGAATTCCTGACACTGAGCTACGGGATTTTAATTTTAGAGAGGAGATGGAAACTCTTTCCTGTTGGGTCTCAAATGGTGTTTTGTACGGTTGTAATTTGAGGCTTGAAAATGTCCCAGAAGCCTGCAACTGAAAACCCTCAACATGTAATTGATATTTAAAAGTGTTGTGTCCCTGGTGCAAGGGCTATAAAAGGCACTCCTGGTGGGCCTGCCTATCAATCACCTATTGCTATTTGACATTGGTACAACCCTTTGCAAGTGAAAATAATTTACTGCCTTCCTCCATGAAAATTATTTACCATTCCCATTTTGGTTTGAACACTTACTGTTGTGGTTCAAAGCTGTGATGAATTGGTTAGCTATAAATTTTCTTTCCTCTTCCATTCTCCTCCCACCTCTTCCTAATGCAACACTGGGATGAAGGTTAAGGCATAGGGTGTTATCTGAAGGAAATGCTCCACTCTCAGTGCCCCATCCATCCTTGCTAATGCTTATAGCTCCCCTGTGGTATTGGGAAGTGTAATCGCTATTGTACTGAGGTAGAACAGGAGCTGGAGAGAGATAAATGGCCTAGTTATCAAAACTTCCTAGCCTCCCACAGCCCTCCTTGGGAATATAGCTATAAATGACATTCAAATGATGCTGATAGATGTGAGCTAAGCAGGCAGCAGAACGTGTGCGGTCCCAGTGCTGCGCCTGGGCCAGCCCCTCCTCGCTGAAAATGTCATGGAGATCTCAGCTATCCTGACACTGGCTGCAGACACTGGGGGATACGTGTGAGATACGGTGCTGTCTGCTCTCAGCTGCTTGTAGACAAATCCCACGGGGTTGCAAGGGCTCAAAATCAAATGGTGACTGAGATGTTAAAGCTGGAGCTTGCAGAGCTGAAGGCAGAGGTGGTTTTTCTTCTTTGGCACAGATTCTGCTCAAGAGAATCACCTCAGAGGTGAAATATGGTAGGGAAAACATCCCTTCTTCCACCCAGCACTGCAATGGCAGAAGTGTCACTTTTGAGTGACTTGGGTCCAAAATAGTATGGCCTGTGGTGGGTCCAGAAATCACCCTTTCCATCTGTTGTCCTTCCTGGTGTGTGAAACAGGAGGACTGCACATCCCTCAGAAATGGAACAGGAGCAGCTAGAGTAGGTGGCAAATCTGCTTCTGAGTCTAGAAGGGCTCTTGGGTGTCTTGGCATCTCTTCAGGAGATACCAGGAAAATTCCCCCATCTGGAGGAGAAGAACCTCCCATGAAAACAACCAGCAATCTGTAAGGCTTTGAATCTTATTTTATTATTTTAATTGAATAATTTATTTAATGTTATTGCATTTTATTTTTAGACCCTTTGTTCCTCCTAAGGTGCAGATATGCGAACGCACTGCCCTGCAGACAGGTTTTTACTCAAAAGCACGTCTTGGAGGGGTTGTTTCTAGCGCGTTGTGCCAGAAATCCCAGGGCACCAAGAGTGTAGGGCAAAAAAAAGCTTGTCGCTTCCCGTCTTTCTTGCAGCCCTGAAACTGAAACGAAAAGAGTACAGGCTGTCAATCACATCCCCTCAGGTTTTAGGTCGAAGTCGGGACCAGGGTGCGGGTACATATGGCAAAGCGGAGCGAGGAGAGTTCTTGGGTGCTACGGGTCGGGGCGGACCTCTGGGGTCCGCAGCTGGGCTCGGGACCGGCGCTGCTCCCTCCAGGAGCCACCTGGGAGGGGACAGTGGCAGCATCTCCCGCGAGAGCCCCGTGTAAAAAGGGGCTCCCCGGTGGGACTGGGGCTGCCCGGCTGTGCTGCCCCCGAAACCCCGCTCCGCAGGCGGAGGCTCCGGCTCGGCTCGGCTCGAGCCGCAGCGGCAGCAGCGCCTCCAACCACCCACCCGCCGCCTCTCCCGGCATCCTTCATCCCCATCCTCCGCTCCTTCCTGCGTCGGCGGTGGAAGCAGCCCCCCGCCGGGGGCCGGGGATGCCCTCCTCTCCCCCCCCTCCCCTCCAGCCGCAACGGAGGAGGGGGGCTGTGATGCTGCAGGGGGATCCCCGGGTGTCGAGCGGGGTCTCCCCTTCCGTCGGCTGCCGGGATCTCCCCGCTCGGCGCCGGCGGCCCCGGCGGGGGGCTGTCGGTCCAGGGCTGGGGGGGCGGGGGAGGGCAGTCCCATGGCAGGGGGCCGGGACCGGTGCCCCCCACACCGCAGATGACTCGACAGCCGGGCTGGGGGAGCGGGGGGCGGGCGCCCGGCTATTTGCTGGCTGCATACAATGGGCCACTCCCTAACGTGAGGGTTGGGGGGAGGCAGGAGCTGGGAGGAGGAGGAGGAGGAGGAAGGGAAGGCGCGGGGGGGGGGGGGGGGGGGGAGGAAGGGGCTCGGGCATCGGGCTGGTAAATAAACTCCGCGATGATTCCCCTCCTTCCCGCCGGCCCCAGGTGCGCGCCGAGCGCCTGCCTGCCCGCTGCCCGCCGGCGGGAATGACCTGACGGGGATGTGACCGACTCCCCCAGCCCACTGCCGCTTACCCCCCCCCATATATATATATATATATACATACATACATAGATGAATATATATATCTAAATACATAGAGAAGTCGTTCTGGGGGGAGAGGCGGGGAGCTCGGATCATGGCCCTGGGGCTCCTGGGGCTGCCGCCGCCGCCGCCGATCCGCAGCTCGCCTCCGGGGCCCGACCATGGGGCTGAAGGCTCGGCGCGGCGCCGCGGGCGGTAGCGCGGCCGGCGGGGCGGCGGCGGCGGCA